GTGTGTGTGAGTCTCCAGGAGTGTGACGGTCTGGGTCTCCACGCTGCTCTCCAGCATGTGTTTTCTGTCGTGTGATTAAACATTGAGGGATTGTGTTGCTGCAGATTTTGTAGTGTTTGCTTCTTGCTGTCGTCTCCAGTAAAGTTCGGATGAATAAATCCAGGTTTTCTCTGTAGAACTGATGTTTAGCTCTTTGACCCTGCAGGAGGAGGAGGAGGTTAGCGACTGTAGCTCTGTTAGATTGACAGATGAGGTAAGACCAGGATCCTCCAGCCTTCATTCCCACCATCAGACTTTTCCTGCTCTCTAATCTGCACGAGTCCCCAGATGTGCTTTGATTTCCTCTCTCCCTGGCTTTCATTTAATCCTGGGTTTATTTAATCGGTCTCCCTTTTTCCTGTCATCATAAATAATGACTATGAATGAACACGATGCTTTTTATTTTGTCCACAGTATGTTTGGAGACACTGAAGTTTATTTTTATTGTTTTCAGGAGGATGAAAAGCTCCCGAACATTAATCCGAGGAAGCTCAAGTATCAGGTAAGACCAGGGTCGAATCCTGCCGCGTTATTAAGACGTGGTTCTTTATCTCTGCATCGTGTTCCAGATGTGCCTCATGCATGCCCTTAATTTAATCAGACTATCCTGAGGTGATAAATATGCTTTTAATTTGAAAGGAGACAGAGAATGGGCTTTCTCTTTAAATGTTCGATGACAAACAGAGAAGCTCCGAATGTTCCAGCTGCAGCGTTTAACCCAGAGGTTCAGCCGAGGGTTCGAGGGATTAGTGTTTATCTTTTTTAACCCTGTCGTCGTCAGCTTGGCTTAGTGAAATATAGAAGATCACACGGTGTCGCCAAAACTGGGCGTGTCCTCAGAGGTCGGTGTTCCCTGGAAGATCCTTTCACTTTAACTCGAAGCAGGCTTCATGTCAATACAGTTTGACACTTCAGATGCTCACCTGTAGTTCTGTTCATACTCACTATATAAAAGATGGACGTAGACCACCTCGGTTAGTTTTTTAAATGAATCAATGAACGTATTTATTTTTGAGCCTCAGACGGAGCATTCTTGCTGTTTCCATCTTGGTCTTTTGAAACCAGATGTGATGACCGAGCTCGTAGGTTCACAGCTGTCCGTCACAGTTTAGACCCGCCCTGAATCAGCCCTGACTGATTGTCAGCGTCTAAAACGAACCTCGTGTTTTATCCAAAAGGACCTGAAACCAGAAACTGAGACGATAAAACCGTACAAGTGTAGGACAAGATTCCAGCTAGACGAGTCGCCCCCTGCTGGCCGCTTTAGCTTTGTGTCAGCTAGCTTTGCTGGCTAAACGTTTTTTTAGAAGACTGCGTTGTGCATGTAATCCTAGAGTAGGAGTTGGTACCAGTTAAACCAGTTTCAGCTTAAACATCATAGGGAAACCCTGCAGCTGGTTTATCTTTGTATGTTTGGGAGAACGGAAAGCTCACTCTCTGCTTTATGATGGTCAACCAAAGCACGGGAAGCAGAAATGATCAGAGTATCCAAACGTCTTTCCTTTCAAACTGTGCAAACTTGGGTAAAACAGTATTTGCAGATGATTTTAGTCAAAGCTGAGATGAGCTGACGACCTTTGCCCCTGGAAGTGAACTGTTTGCAAATGCTTTTCTGCCTGTGTTTGAGTTTCAAACCTTTCGGAAAGAAGTTTTCGTGCACTTGTCAATTTAATTTGCATGACAAACCTTCACCTTATTGATTTAAATCACTTACATCCCACCTGTGCACCTGGTGATTGGAGGAACTGTAATTCTCAGTGGGTGGATTATGAACTTCAGCATAATTCCTAGAGCCTCCACTTTAGTCACGGACTCCACTCCCCCCCTTGTGCACACAGAGAGCCAGAGGGTCTAGCTTCCAGCATTCCCTGGAGTTTGAGGCAGTCTGTCCTAATGTCCACAAAAACATGTCAGAGGAACCAGAACGTGGTCTCGTACAGATGCAAAGAGAAGAAACGCAAAAGTCTACAGACATTGAAAAAGTGGAAGTTCCTGAAAACAATGACCTCAGCAAAGGAGAAGTGGGCCGAGCAGTTTGTGACCTCAACTGTTTGAACGCCGAACACAAAATTGAGCAAGAAGTGCACCCAGACCAGCACAGCAACAGATCTGATGGAAGTGATTCCACCTGCTGTGTTGACGATGATCGTGGTGAAAAGCAGGAGGTTCACGATGGACGCTCGTTTTCTAACTCGGAGGACAAGGTTGAATCCCAAACATGTGATTCAGGGAGAGCAGGCGAGACGAAACCGCCCACTGATCATTCCTCAAAGTCACGCAGCTTTAACCGTGGTTACATCAGTTCAGTGGTTCAGTGGTTACAAGTAAGTCAGCAGCAGATGATGGGATCCTTTATTGGTCAAACAAAACAAGAGCTGGATGCAGAAGCAGAGAAAGTGACAGCCAATAAGAGCTTTGTCTTCGGCTACTTTGCTGACAAACTGTCCGAGGTGTGTAAAGATGCTGGTAGAAAGCTTCAGGGCACACGGGACATCATTCGAAACGTTCAAGCAGGCGACATGAAGGTTGTCCTCCCTCAGTACGTGAGCACGATATCCAAAGAGCTGCCGCTGATCCATCAAACACAGCTTCACCAAGAGCCAAATCCTTCAATCGCAGCCGAGCACAAAGGCACTTCGGTAGATCTGTCGAAGGATTGTGTGCTGAGGCTCCCACAGAATCGCGGAGCTCCGCCGATCCCGAACATCTCTGGTTGGCCTGAAGGATCCGTGTCCTCTTCGAGAGTTACCAGTCCAGAAGTGTTTCATCAGAGGCTGGTCGAGCTTCCGGCTGTTTTGTCTGAGCTACAGACATTTTCATCCCAGAGGATCCTGGAAAAGTTGGAATCTCTGGCTCCTCGGGAGAATTTTGGCAAGGTTTTGAGTCTGTTTTGGCTCAGAGCGGCTAACTGTAAGAAACCCATCCCAAAACCCGCCTGTCTGCTTTTGTCAGAGACGGACTTAACCATTCTCTCAACGAGGACGGATTCTACAAACATGTTGACTATTTTTCACCGCTTTAAACTCCAAGAAATCCGGGAAGTCCAGATAAGTCTGGCAGGGCAGCACATCCGCCTAACAGGCTGCACCGAAGACACCGTCCTAGCTATCTTCACGTACAGCAAAGAGCTTACTCAGGACTTCTGCAGGGCTCTGCTGAATGCTCTCTTTCCTGAGAAGATCCCTGAAGAGACCGAACGTCAGCCGTTGCTCTCTGCCGACCTAATGGTAATCTCTCTGGATTGGACTTCAAGAGTTCCTGACGTCATCCTTGACAGCGGGCTTCACATCACTTCCAGATTTAAGCGCGTCCTCGCCGACTTGCTCTACATCATCCACGGGAACATGGATGGTCCCTTCAAACCTTCGCTTGCTAATGTCCGTCCCCTGCTCTACACCAGCGTCAAAGTCAAGAACTCTACCTGTGTGCACGGGGACACCATCTCCCAGTTCCTCCTGACGGACACCCACGTAGCTCTTCTCCGAGAGGATGGCGTCTTTCATCCAGTGCCGCGGGGATCCAGTCTGGTCCCCACCCACCCACAGTTTCAAGGAGTCAAACTCCGCAAGCGTTCTGACATCAGGTGCCTGCTCGTGAAGAAGACCGACACCTGCGTGGTGGTAGACTTTGTTTTTATGAAGCCCAAATCGCAAGCCGTGAAGAGAGAGGTGCAGTTCAGACGTGGCGCGGCTGACCTTCCTTCTGATCGAGGCCCGTGTGAATCCTGGAAATTATGCTTTGGCTGCTCCTCAGAAGCTCAGACTCTGATTAATCACCTGTGCACCTGAAGCCCAGCATTACCTGGACACAGTGTGCCTATCTCGTGTTTGTCCACAATCAGACACCTTATTTATTTTAAGATGTTACATGAATTCTAATTAATAAATTGGACCTTAAAAGGTGCGTCATCTTGAAGTATTTTTCTATTTTTTTTAATAAAATTGTAAACTTTTTAACTTTGATGATACAGAAATGTAGCTGTTTATTCGTCGAATGATTTGTTTGTGGTCAGTGTGCATGCACCATGTAGACTGTAGAGGAGTGGCTTCCATGTTCATATTACTTCATGTGTAATTTCTTTGCAGAGACATGATGTTGGGATGCTGACCGAGTAATAAAGTTTTGGTTTGATTTCTGATTTGTTTGGAGGTTTTTGGCTATAACGGGTTTGTAAATGAACAATTTCCTGATTGTAATTTTCCGAGTCAGCCTTTTACCCTCCGCTTCTTTTTTCCTTCTCTTTTTCAACGACTTCCTGTCCAGCACTTGGTGTCTCGTCCTCCTGGGACGAGCTGTGGCGGCCTCCAGGAGCCTGTTAAACTTAGCATTCCTCGTTACGTTCTCCGCGGGCAGGGGAAGGACGAGCACTTTGAGTTTGAGGTGAAGGTGAGTCCAATCACAGATTCTATCTAAATGCATGTTAAAACTGAGATTTCATGCTTGCGTCTGCACTGCTTGTGCACTTTATTAGGTACACATGTACAGTGTCAGGGTCATGGTTTGGCTGCTTAAACCCTGAAGCTGTGACGACCTGCAACCCTCACTCTGTGTTTATGAAGCAGGTCAGAACGTTTATTGTCAAGAGTTCATAGAACAACTTTCAAAGACCAGGGCAGGTGTGTTCTGGTGAACCGGCGTTAGGGGCCGTAGCTAACAGCAGCTAAAAACACCCCAACAACACGTGCAGAGGTCCAGGTCAGGTGAAGCTAGCAGCTACAGCTGCCTGTGTCACCATCCACCTGTCAGTCAGAGGCAGCTGCCATTGAAAGGTTCTCAGACGAACACTGGAAGGTTTACTTTCTGTAGAAATGTTCCTCTGACAGACTCGTGCACTTTCTGACTCGTGACCAATAAGTCGAGTAAACTGGTGGTCCATCTCCACTGGTATCCAGATGTGTCATTCTTGTAGAATGGCTGAGTAGATCAGCGAGCTCAGATTTGGTGTCCATCATCTCGATGTTCATGTGCTTCTCTTTGGTCAGATCACTGTGATGGACGAGACGTGGACGGTGTTCAGACGCTACAGCCGCTTCCGGGAAATGCACAAGAGCCTGAAGTTAAAATATCCAGAGGTGAGACACGTCATCAGCTTTTAGAACAGTTTACAGATCAAAGCAGCAGAAAAACGTTTCTGTGTTTGAGTCGGAAGAATGACGAGAGACGCCCAGAACGTTACCTAGATCACGGTTTGGGCTGTGAGTGCTGCGCTCAGACAGATCGAACTCCGAGTCGAAGCCCCAAAGCTTCTCAAATCCTTTATCTCAGTTCAGCCTCTGTCTGCTTTAGCTCCACCCACTTCAAGCCAGCTCTCAGTGACTTTATCCAGATCCCAGAGTAGAAAAACACTGTGTTTCAAGCAGCCTGAGCTTAGTGCACACTGAGTTCATCATCAGAAACTGTGACCACGATTAACGAGAAGAGTGAAAACCTTCAGCTCTACAGCGTAGCCCACAGGACACTGATGACGCATCTGGCTCGTAACTTAATACTGAAACACAGATCATAAAAGGATCATCTGAAAGTTGCTGGTTTGAGTCTTTGTGGTGAGGGACTGGTGCAGCAGCAGGAGCACACCTGAAAGACCAAACGGTGCTCCACAGTCACCTGAACTCACCTGGTCTCAGTCCAGGTTCAGCCTTACAGATTCGTCACAGAGACGTCCTGATGAAGAGGCTAGCTTATACCTTTATACTCAGTGTTCTGGCGCCAGGTGATCGTCTCTGAACTCTGTCTGTTTCAGCTCGCCGCTCTCGATTTCCCGCCAAAGAAGCTGTTTGGAAACCGGGACGAGCGAATGGTCGCCGAGCGGCGGAATCACCTGGAGGTACGTGGAGGAACATTTGGGGCTGATTAAGGAGATTTCTGGGAGAACAGCGTTACAGTAATCTGAACGAGACGTGACCAGGACGCGTGTGCTTTATTTCCTATGAATTTTTCACTCGAAGACTTCAAACGTAAAGTTTTTGAGTCTGAGCTGATTGGCTGTGGTCCGTGTGGGGGTGGGCTGTAGGCAGGTATTCTCAGAGGACGGAGAGGGAGTCAAAGAGCACTGATGATGGTGAGGAGGAGGATGAGGACGTCTGATAAGGGCCAGCTGCACTTAACCTGTGAGTGTTCTTAATGTTTTGGCTCACTAACACAGCCGACTTTCTTCTTCTGTGGTTCACTGCAGCGTTATCTGAGGAACTTGTTCCGAGTGATGCTGTCGTCCTCCAGCTCGCCCCTCCGAGCGGACGAAGACGGCCTTTTCCATCTGTCCAAACGAGACGTCTGCGACTTCTCCTCGTTCTTCAAGAAAGGCGTCTTCGAGTACAGTAGCCACGGCACCGGCTGACCGCCGCGCCGCATCAGAGGGCGGCGGAAACCTCTGACAAACCAAAACATAAACAGAACTGCTCGGTGCCTTTTTCCCGGCGCCTCAGCGGGTCAGGAGCAGGGAAAACGTGCAGGTCAGCTTTTCCTCTCCGGCTCCCTGCTGTCGTCAGACTCGGCCAATCAGTTGCTGCTCAGCACGAGTGTTTGTCCAGAGGCAGGTGGGACTCTGCACGATCCGTGGTCTGTATGTAACGCGCTCAGCTGCTCGCGCTCAGTGGGTCTGAGCGTTTTTAGAATCACTTCATTAAACCTTCACTCGTTTCAGAAGAGCTGCTCCTCTGTTTGCACTGCGATCATCAGGAGGTGGATCTCTGTATCGCTGAGCGCCGCGCTGTCACAACACAACAGGCGAACGATCACACCTCAGTTAACAGCAGCCACACTGAACCTGGACAGTTACTGTGAGGCGTCTACATTATGTATAATTCAGTTCAGCTTTATTTACACAGCGCCAAATCACACAGTCGCCTCAAAGCACTTTATACTGTAAGGTCGACCCTACAATAACACATACAGAGAAAAACCCAACAATCATATGACCCCCTATGAGCAGCACTTTGGCGACAGTGGGAAGGAAAAACTCCCTTTTAACAGGAAGAAACCTCCAGCAGAACCAGGCTCAGGGAGGGGCGGGGCCATCTGCTGTGATTGGTTGGGGTGAGAGAAGGAAGACAGGATAAAGACATGCTGTGGAAGAGAGACAGAGGTTAATAACAGATATGATTCAATGCAGAGAGGTCTGTTAACACATAGTGAGTGAAGAAGAAACACCCAGTGCATCATGGGAATCCCCGGCAGCCTACACCTGTTGCAGCATCACTAAGGCTACGTTCACACTGCAGGTGAAAGCGCATCAAATCCGAATTTTCTGACCCTATGCGACTCATATCTGATCATAGTCTGACAGTGTGAACGGCACAAATCCGATATTTTCAGGTCCGACCTGGGTCACTTTCATATGTGGTCCTGAATCTGAAACACATCCGATGTTTTAGTCACTGACACAAGACAGACGCCAATTATCAGCTCCGGAGAAGACATCGTGAACGCTTCCTGTCCATCCCGTGAAACTGTTGGGAAGACAGCGTTGGAGAAACGTGAACATTTTATTTGTTCTGTATAATCTGCAGCTATCCTTTGAAGCAGCAACAAGGATCATCATTATGTAAATAACAAAATAACTTAAAGCAAAAACTGGGAAACGTAAAGTTCGAAGTCTTTATATTAACGGCATCTAGTCAAACATCTGTTGGTCTGGGTCTAAACAGAGCGCGTTGTGTGTGACGTCTTCTTTTGCGCATGCGGCCGCTTTGAGCGTTCACACTGGAGCGCGTTTGCTGTCGCATTTTATTTGTAGTGTGAACGAGCAGACAAAAAAATCGGATTTGATCAAAAAATCTGAATTGAGCATTAAGACCTGCAGTGTGAACGTAGCCTTAGGGAGGATTCAGGGTCACCTGGTCCAGCCCTAACTATATGCTTTAGCAAAAAGGAAAGTTTGAAGCCTAATCTTGAAAGTAGAGATAGTGTCTGTCTCCTGAATCCAAACTGGAAGCTGGTTCCACAGAAGAGGGGCCTGAAAACTGAAGGCTCTGCCTCCCATTCTACTTTTAAATACTCTAGGAACAACAAGTAGGCCTGCAGAGCGAGAGCGAAGTGCTCTAATAGGGTGATATGGTACTACAAGGTCATTAAGATAAGATGGGGCCTGATTATTTAAGACCTTGTATGTGAGGAGCAGGATTTTGAATTCTGGATTTAACAGGAAGCCAAAACAGGAGAAATCTGCTCTCTCTTTCTAGTCCCTGTCAGGACTCTTGCTGCAGCATTTTGGATCAGCTGAAGGCTTTTCAGGGAGTTTTTAGGACTTCCTGATAATAATGAATTACAGTCGTCCAGCCTGGAAGTAATAAATGCATGAACTAGTTTTTCAGCGTCACTCTGAGACAGGATATTTCTAACTTTAGAGATGTTGCACAAATGGAAGAAAGCAGTCTTACATATTTGTTTAATATGTGCGTTGAAGGACATGTCCTGGTCAAAAATGACTCCAAGGTTCCTCACAGCGTTACTGGAGGCCAAGGTAATGCCATCCAGAGTAAGAATCTGGTTAGATACCATATTTCTAAGATTTTCAGGGCCGAGTACAATAACCTCAGTTTGATCTGAATTAAGAAGCAGAAAGTTAGCGGCCATCCAGGTCTTTATGTCTTTAAGACATTCCTGCAGTGTAACTCATTGAGTCGGAAGAATGACGAGAGACGCCCAGAACGTTACCTAGATCACGGTTTGGGCTGTGAGTGCTGCTCTCAAATCGAACTCCGAGTCGAAGCCCCAAAGCTTCTCAAATGCTTTATCTCAGTTCAGCCTCTGTCTGCTTTAGCTCCACCCACTTCAAGCCAGCTCAGTGACTTTATCCAGAAAAAACTGTTTCAAGCAGCCTGAGCTTAGTGCACACTGAGTTCATCATCAGAAACTGTGACCACGATTAACGAGAAGAGTGAAAACCTTCAGCTCCACAGCAAAAAAATAAAATAAAAAAACTCCTTTTACAGAATCATTGGGAAAAACTTTAAAACTTTAACTTCTGGGCTTAAAATAAGAAGTGAATCACACAGTTTCACAGCCTGATGCACAAACTGGTTGCTCTCTGGACCGTTTCCTCCTCCGTAACAGCCGAGGACGTTTAAATTGTATTAAAAGTTTTCATGATTAGGGGCGTGGCCTCTGACTGACAGGTGGATGGTGACACAGGCAGCTCTAGCCTCTGGACGTGTTCGTGATGTTGGGGTGTTTTTAGCTGCTGTGAGGTTACCGTAGTAACAGACCAATTAAGAAGGCGGAGCTCCAGGTTTGATGCTCAGTGAAGCAGAAACAGAGACGTTTCTAATAACTGACTTTTCTACATTGACCATGTATTTAAATAAAAGCTGACATGTGGATCCTGTTGTTTCTCTTTTCCTTGTTGCCGGTCTCGTGTTTCACAGCTGCACATTCATCACTTTCATGCTAAGCGTGCAGCGATCGTGCTCCGCCCTCGTGTCGGAGTGAATCCCTGCTATTTGTCTTTAAGGGAAAAGAACCAAACCTTTCAGTGCAGACCAATAAAAATTCAAACTCCAACCAAAAGAAGTTTTATTTAGTTTGTTTTTGTAGATCAGCAGCAGCAGTGAGGTCTGTAAACAGCAACAGCAGAAATATTCAGTCAAAAGGATAAAGTTTTCTTTCCACATTATTGGAGAAGCTTCGTGGAACGATTCAGTCACATCTTCAGGAGGAAATGCGTTTTATTTTGAAAGAGTTTAACTTCTTTTCAAATCCGAGCTGCTGGAAGTTCGTGGCGGCCGGTCCCTCCAGGATCTGCTGCGCAGGTTCAAGTCTTCAGCCCTCCCTCTGCTCGTCGTACCCCTGCACAGAAACGCTCAGTCAGTCACCACCTGACAGGTGAGCTGTGCCCCGCCCACCACCGCTCACCTTACGCTGCTGAGCCAGGTCCTCCTTTAAGGCCGCGATGGTGTTGTGCTTCTGCTCCACGATGGCCTACAAAGGTCAGACATGTGAGCGCTCGGATCTAATTGGATGTGGAGACGTTTATCTGCACATCTTCGTGTTAACGATTGGCTTCCTGTAAACGTGCAAGCGCCATCTTTACCTCCAGCCTGCTGGCGGCGCTGCCTGCTGCCGTCGGATCGGTGCTGGAGGCCGAGAGCGCGGCGCACAGCTGAGCCTCCTTCTTCTCCAAGGTTTCGGTGAGCGCTGCCAGCTTCCTCTCCAACATCATCGCCTTCAGCTCGCTCCTCTGCTGCACGTCCATGATGGCGTCCCTCTGCTTCTTCAGCAGCTCGTCGCGCTCCTGCTGCACCTGCGGGACGCCGACATGGTCACAACCGTCAACATCATGGATGGAGGCAGGAGAGGAGATGATGGGGGCGGGTTACCTTCTCAGAGGCCTGCAGCAGCAGATCGTGCTCCAGTGTCAGATCTCTCAGCTCCCTCTCCACGACCTTCATCTGAGCCCGGCTCTCCTGTCAGCGATGACATCATCAGTTACTTACAGTGGTGTGCAAAGGTTCGGGCACCTCTGATCATTTTCATGATCTTTCTTCATACATCATCTGTTGCTTGGAGCAGCAATTTCATTTAAATCTGTCACACAGCAGACGAACGTGATGATGTTTGAGAGGTGAAATAAAGTTTACACAAAGTGAGCAACAGTTACTCTAAGTTAGGCAGGTGCAGAAATTTAGGCACCTTTGTCGTTTTATTGATTCGATATCTTTCGTCTTGTAATCGGAAGGTTGCCGGTTCGAGCCCCGGCTTGGACAGTCTCGGTCGTTGTGTCCTTGGGCAAGACACTTCACCCGTTGCCTACTGGTGGTGGTCAGAGGGCCCGGTGGCACCAGTGTCCGGCAGCCTCGCCTCTGTCAGTGCGCCCCAGGGTGGCTGTGGCTACAATGTAGCTGCCATCACCAGTGTGTGAATGTGTGGATGACTGGATATGTAAAGCGCTTTGGGGTCCTTAGGGACGAGTAAAGCGCTGTATAAATACAGGCCATTTACCATTTTATTACCATTTTATTGGAACAGAGAATTTGTTTGGTGAGCTCAGTCACACTTGACCTACATGCAACAGAACAGGAACAGGTTCTCAGTGGCAACATGGGAGCCTCAAACAACTGGAAACAAAGACTGTTCAACATCATGGTTTAGGGGAAGGATACCTTCTGGCTGCAGATGGTGTCACTGTGCACAAAGAGATGCTGTATGAGAGAGTAATGCAGAAGAAGCCTGAGGTATGCTACAGCACGACTGGAAAGCCAGCGGCAATTCGGAATAAACTGCTGTGACTCGTGAAACTAAAACTGAGCTCTCTGGACACAACAGGAGGCGGCGTGCATGGTGGAAACAGAACCCAGCAGGCCAAGAGAAACACTACCCACAGTACAATTTGGTGGTGGTCCCATCATGCTGTGGGGCCATGGGCCCAGTGCCGGTACTGGGAGTCTCATTAAAGTTGAGGGTGGCATGGATTCCAGTCAACGAACGGTCCAGAATACCTTCAACCAGAATCCAGACTCTCACTGGAAGCTGCAGGAAGCCTTTAGAGGCTGTTAATGCTGCCAAGGGCGGATCTACTAAATACTGATGTCATTTTTCTGGTGCCCAAATTTCTGCACCTGCCTAATTTAGATTAACTGTTGCACACTTTCTGTGAATCCTATAAACTTCATTTCCCCTCTCAAACATCGTTTGTCTGCAGTGTGACATATTTAAATGAGATTGCTGATTCAAACAACCGATGATTTATGAGGAGAAGCCTCCAGGTGCGTGAAGCTGCCGCTCAGCTTTCATGTTCCTGAGTCACCTGTTTGTTCATGAATCTGTTTTCTGCACTGGCTTAGTTTAATATTGACCTCATTTATGTTTATAATAATAATAATAGTTATTATTATTGTAATAGACTGATGCCCGTCGTCCATATTAAATGTCAGTTGAAAGTGGGAGGAGCTTGTTTCAGAGGATGAGATAAAGAAGGATTATTCTGAGCTGTGACTGGAAGCTGTGGTCACATGATCTCCATTAAAGACAGAATTGATGTCGCAGGTCTCCCTCTGAATGACATCAGCCATGAGCAGAAATGTTTTGTTGTCCAGGTTCTGCTCTGATAAGGGCGAGCTTCCCAGCGATCATGTGACCTGATGGTGCTTTCTCCCAATGAGCCGCAATCTATAAAGTTATTAACAGGAAAAATGCTCTGCATCACCATTCTAGTAATGCTAGCAGCCTCAGGAGCAGGGGCGGGGCCTATCAACGCCATGGTGGGGGGAGGTGGAGCTTTTAGCAACGCACCAGCATCTGGGCCTTGCAGCGGTTGTGCTCCTCCAGCCGGCGGCGCAGTTCAGCCAGATCCCGCTGGGCCTCCGGCAGAGCCTCCTTCAAGCTTCTGTTCTCCTCCTGAGCCTTGGAGAACTCTCGGGACACCCGAGCCTGCTGTTTCTGCGCCTCCGTGAGCTCCTCCTACCAAACACAGGAAACACAGCGTGAAGACAGACGGCCACACCGCTGGCAGGTCTCAGCTTTATCGAGCAGTGAGCCCCAAACAAAAAGCAGCATTCTGGGAAATGTAGGATCCAGAATTTAACAGCAAGTTTCCTTTAATTTCAGTTTCTGCAGCAAACACGTAGAAGATATTTTACCTCATAAAGAACTTGCTCTAAAAAGATCTGCTATGTAACTCGTATCCACAGCAGGAAGTGAGTCACAATGAGACAGCTTGGACAGAAGTTTCAGATCTGTGAAGATGTTCTGGTCAAACATCTCAGAAACGAGATCCTCATTCCTGCCCGATCTGCTGAGATGTGAGCGGCCCAACGGGTCGCACGAAGCAGATCGTTCTCGAGGAACCCTAAGCTCTTCTTCGGTACCCTAACCCTGCAGGCAGCCGTGAACTCTTTGAACTCTCCATCAGATCTTGTGTAAAAATGCTATTTCATGTCCAACTGTGTTACCTTTGACCTTTTGAAGCTGGAGGACTGCAAACAAACACAAAGTCTGTGAAAATGAAAGTTTCCAAATATTATTTTATGTGTAAAAACCTTGAATCTGTGTCCCTGTGCTCCACCCACCGCACGCCTCCTGAGTCACAGCCTTGAAGTCTCCGTCCCGGCTCACGGGTCTCACCTTGAGTGTCCTCTGGTCTGTCAGCAGTCTCTCCCGAGTGGACGTGAAATGCTCCTCGACTCTCCGCAGAGCTCGGTCGTGCTCCTCAATCAGAGCCACCTCTCGACTCTTCATCCTCTCATCGAGCTCGGCAACCGCCACCTGACACTTCTTCTTCTCCTCCTGGATCATTATCTGCATCTTCTTATGATACTTCACCTCGATGTCTGCGCAGGGAGGGAAACAGCAGCAGAGGTTATGAAGGAAGATGAACGGAGAGGAAGGAGTGGGAAAAGAATAGGAAGGAACTAGTACACGTGGGGGAAAGGAAGGAGGAGGTCGGTGTCCCAGGGCTGAAAGGCCACCTGATCGGCGCCGAGCTCACAGGTGTTCTTACCTCTGATCCTGTGCTCGTAGTGGTTGGTGAGCTCCATCAGCTCCGTCTGATGTTTCTGTCAAGGAGGAAGTGACATCACCGAGGTGTCCAGGTGTAAAAATCAAGTGTTAAATCGATTTACGGGCAGCGACTCACCAGCTGCAGCGCTTTGATGTGGCTCTCGATGTGGAACTTCTTCTCCGTGAGCTCCGCCTGCAGACCCTGAACGTTTCTGTGGAGCGCGATCTCAGACTGCACGTGCTTCTTCTCGACCAGCGAGGACGCAGAGACGGCCTCCATCTTCAGCTCAGTGATGGCGTTGTGCTGCTCAGACAGGACGTGCTTCAGCTTCCGCTTATAGACCTGGACAGTGACCAAGGACAGGTCAGGACTAAGATTAAGTTGAGATAAAGTCAGGGTTACGGTACAATAAACCTCCAGGATCGCGTGCGCAGCTCACTTCGATCTCGACTCGGTGGCGCTCCTCAGCCTCATCTCTCTCCCGGCTCCTGTTCCTCAGCTCGGCCTTCGTCTTGTCCAGGTTCCTCTTGGAGATCTCCCAGAAGGCCTGGATCTTGTCTCTCTCCAGCTGGAAGTAGCTCTTCTCCTCTTGCTCGCGGTCCAGCTCCTCCCGGAGGTGGATGATGTGGTCCTCCAGCTGGAGGTCAGACACGCTCAGGTCACTGAAACGTACCGCTTAAAACTGCCGTTTGCAGGAAATACACAGAGCCTCAAACTTCATCTGATTGTGGTGTTGCAGGTAGATCTATTTTCTCAGGCTCAGGTTACAGGTGTACCTAATGAAGTGGACAGTGTACTTGTTATTTTACGATCATAATCGGGTCTGTTACGTGTTGGACTGTGGGGCCGGGCCGGGCCGCGGACCCCCTGATGGACCCCCTCACACCTCCACACACTGTGAGAGGCTAACGTTAGCACCGTTAGCAGCTCTGACCTGATCCTTGGACATGTCCTCCGTGGACAGACCGTCCACCACCGTGGAAGACTTCACGTTCCCGCCCTTCTTCTTGCTTTTAGCCTTCGGCGGCTGAGGACGGAAGGGTAAGAGGCGCGTGACGTTCCGCTCATCGGGATAACAGGCTAGGGCTAAGCTAACATGCTAACAACAACATGACTGAAAAAAACACCGGTTAAAGTAAAAGTTTACTCACCATCGTGCCGCACTGCGCAGACTCACAGGGATCCGGAAACTTTAATTATCCTGCCAGAAAACTGCGGCTGGAGTTAAACACGTTAGCTGTTAGCTATCTGAGCCTCAGCTCCACTATCAACAAAAGACGCTGTCATGGCAACGCAGGACCGTATCACGTGTGTGTGTGTGTGTGTGTGTTTGGTGGTGTGTTGTGTTGTGTGTGCTGGCTGTAGTACGGGTATTCTAACAATCTTCGTGAGGACAAAGATCGAGGCACTATACTTCGTGGGACCAACAGCCCCAATTTTCAGACTAAAAATGTGGTTTTAGCGTGAGGGTTTGGGTTAGGCATTCATTGTAGATGGTTAGGGAGACCTTTGTGTCAATTAGATGCCCCCACAAGACATGAATAACCTGTGTGTGTGTGTGTGGTGTGTGTGTGTGTGTGTGTGTGTGTGTGTGTGTTGTGCCTTGTACAGTTTTCTCTTATAATTTATATTTAAAGTCTTAAACTGATGCTCTTTGGTCATTAGGCCTCTGAGAGAAAATTTGAGAACAAATTTTTATTTGAATCATTTGTAAGCAGAAAAAACTTGCAAGCTTTTAAAGCATGAATATTTCTTGCTGGTTTATTATTATTATTATTATTATTATTATTATTTTGCTTTCCAAAGAGCAGTGATTCTGAAAAAAACTGACAACATTTATTCAAAGATCACTTTTATAAATTTACACATAATATTAAAGCTCTGCATCTGCTGCTCCAGCCTGTTCGTCATATTTTAAGACGTTTTGTACGTAAACTGATTCAGCAACGTGAAAATAATTAGACTGTATCTAAAAGATGGAAATGGTCTTTCCAGGGCATGTGGGAGGGGCTCCTGTGTTCTGATTGGATAGAAGTTGCTGAGGAAAGCGCTGATCTCGGTAAACTGCTTCCTGATTGGTTCATGGTCTCAGTCACTGCCTTCAGGTCTGGCTAAATGAAAGTTAATTTTTGGAGGTGATGGTCCTTCGATAGTAAGGGAGGAGCAGGACGCGGGGGAGGAGTCTCAGTCAGACCCGCCCCTCACCCATGATAACTGGTTTAAAGGAGTCAGGAGGAGCTCCGGCAGCTGCTTTCTATCTGCAGAGGATTCTGGGTAAGGTGATACACGCAGGTGTCGGAGGCGTGTCCTTCAGGTTGGGGCCTGCACTGGTTGCTGTACAGAGGAGCAGTCGGTGCTGTGGAGGTGTTTGACTGGTTGCCGACGTCGGAGCAGCAGTACGGGGTTTCCACCTTGGACTCAGGGGCTGGGCCGGGCTCAACGTCGGCGTGTCCGATCTCCTCGTAAACCACCTCGCTCAGCACCGCCCTCGCGTCCCTCGCTGCTTTCTCGGCTTTCCACAGTCTCAGAGTCAACATGGACAACAGCACCAGTGCAGCTCCTGCCAGCACGCCAACAGGAACTTTCCACAAGTCTGAGGGGGGCGCTGTGTCAGCACCTGCAGCCGTCACCTTCCGGTCAGGGTCGTCCTTTCTCCCGGTGACTGTTCGATCCACCACGCTGGGGTCTGTGGTCACATTCAGATAGGCGGTCTTCCTCTCATTGCACAGATACATCGAAGTATCAGACTCTACCACATTCCTGATAAGCAGCTCGTTGTTGTTACGGGAACCGAAGCGCTTCGAACTGCTGTTCATGTGACCGTTACGGACGGTGAGAAGAGTCACCCGGGTGCCTCTTATAGCTCGGCTCCAGGTTACATCTCCCTGAGCATGAGGACAGGTGAGCACAGCGTCCGTGTGCTGCCGTGTGCTGACTGTGGGGATTCCTGCCAAGGAAAAAGCAGAAATGATGATGTCACATGTCTGAATCCGAATCGTATGCTTCCTGACTCACGCCACGCTGACCGGCCTTCCTTCCCTCCAGTTATTTTCATCTTTTAAACATTCAAAGGACATTTCCTCTTTGTCTATCTTTAGTCTGTTGTTTCATGTTATGCTTTATTTCAGATAAAGAGATTCAGGAGCCTGAGGAACCAACAAACTGCTCTCTGACAGGAAGCAGCCTTCAGAGCTGCGTACGAACCTGATGGACGGCTCTGCGATGTGGTTTAAAATAAATGTCTTTACTTTAAATATTTGCATTTTATTCATTCATATATCAGGTGTGTTAAAGGACCACTGGCAGACGTCCTCTGGCGCCCTTTCAGCACAGACTCACAGTAAAACCTACAACCTGAATTTATCTCATATACTAAGAAATGAGATGTGATTAGTTTGCTTTAATAAGTTTATGTGAATTGTGCCAGTGAAGTGATCCACAGTCAGTCAGCAGGTGTAAGCTGGCCTCTTTGATGATGTCGTTATGGTTCTGGGGTTAAAACCACCGTGAGCTGCAGCTCCTCCAGGAGTGGAGGTGTCCCCGGCCTCCCAGTGCCTGTGGACATCGTTATGGTCATTATGGACAAACTGTGATTTGCATGTAAGTCCAGAAACAGAACACAGGCCCCTCCCAACTATGTCAATGCCCACCTGAGCGTTGAAGTCTCCCAGCCGAACGATGGAGTCCCACCCCACCAGGTGACTCCACGTAGGTAATCTGAACTGCATTTGGCATGTAGCAGTCAGGACCCTGACCCAGAGCTGCAGGGAAGCAACGCTCTCATGGACTGAAGGGATACAGGAGCACCAGCCCCCGCCTCGTGCCCAGGGCGACTGCAGGAACTTGGTTCCACTGCCCAGCTGTATCTAGCTGCTATCTCCCAGCCACCTACAGTTGGGCCATGGGCGGAGCCCCACAGGACTGACTCCATTGGCTCCTCTCCTCAGACTCCTGCCCTGCTGGAGTTATGTTTCTTTTCTTTTTTAAATTAGAACCACTTCATCAGATGTTACAGCCTGGATGCTGAAGCCTTTTAAACCTGCATTCTTAGTACTGCCAGCCGGAGGCGATCTGCTGCCCCGGCTCGAGCTTAGTCAACACCTCCCTGATGAGTTTATGGTCTGTGTGAATAAAACATGAAGTTTATTTTGGAAGTTTTGGTCTCGTTTGAGTCGCAGGAGGCGGGCGAGGGTTCAGGGCAGGGCTGTAAGCGTGGTTATGTGTGTGTGTTTAGGCTCAGTTTCTCAGTCAGACGGACTCATGGTTAGAAACACAGCGAGCCCCACAGAGAGGAGACATACGAACGGCAAATAAAACCTGCACGTGGATCAAACGGCTCCAGAAGCAGCGCCTACACTTTCATATTCATTCTCTTAACACCGACTCCAGTTTCTGTCCTGTTGTTCTGCTTCATATAATCGTCACATAACATAACAGCCTTTATCTTCCTTAGACAACCAGAGGAAACAGTGTTACGCTGTTGCAGCTGTAATCGTGAGAACATGCTGACGGAGGCGTTCTTACCTGCAGCGCTGTGACAGACGTGGACACACAGGAGCAGGCAGAGCAGCATCTCTGCAGACGTCTGAGCGGCGGCAGCAGCGTTTCTATGAAAGAGGAACTTCTGAGTGATGGGTGGCTACTTATGGCGCGGCTGCAAACACTCGTTCCTAATTTGCTGACATCACACAGAGTGATTTGTGAACAAAAATAATATTTTTAAAACACTATTTTAAAAAATCTTCTCTAGTTATTTGCCACACCCATATGCAGGTATTAAAGTTCCTCATTTACATATTTTTATCATCTTAGGTTATTTCACATGGGACCAGTTAAACAGCAGGTAGGCGGGACTCGCCCTGGCGCGCTCCACCCTGCGGCGACCCTCATGAACGCCGTTTTGGGATCAGCCTGATCTCTCTGGTCTTGAGGTTTTTGATTTGCAGATACAGCCCTGATCAAAAGTTTCAGACCAAAACTCAAACTCTTTCTCCATCTGCTGGCCAGGTCTGTGAGTGTGAGCCTCAGCTCCCTGCTCTCACTGACAGGAGTGATACCAGTGCCACGTTCAGTCACTGACCACCTTTCTTCATGCTCAGTTTGGACTTCAGCAGCTCGCCTTCACCACGTCTGCATGCGCCGAGCTGCTGCTGTGTGTCTGATATTTGAGTGAACGTGACTTCGAGTGTTTCGATCCCACTTCAACCGTTTGGTTTCTCTCAAGTTTCAGCCACGTGAACAGATGTGTCAGCTTTTATTTTTAGATTTCTAAAAGACAACTTCCTGTCAAAGACAAACTCTTACAACATCATATTTGTCTTCTGTACATCAGAGTTCATGTTTCTTGCCTCTAAAACATTTTATTTTCATTAAATATGGCGTCTACAGTCGGCTCCGAGGCCCTACGGTTGGTCCGTGCCGCTCGGTCGGCCGGTCTTTGATAAATCTCCAAACGACGCGGTGGCCGAGCCTCGCTTCGCCGGTTTGGCCTGAAAGAGAAAAAACGCTGAAGTCATGGATCTAAAATCAGGTTTTTCTAAAAGCAGAAGCTGTTTGTTATTCTGCCACGCTCACGTCCTAAAGATGGAGATCGCTCCACCGTGAACGCAGCAGAAACAGACTGAAGCGCACGGAGCATCAGGTGTTCTCACCTGAGACTCGTGAGGCTTCCAGCCAATCATGTAGAGGATCTCAAAGGTGGCGGGGATGGAGCCGTCCTCACTGCCGTACATCTCTGAAACATTTCAGGCACATGAGAAAAACACAGTGACACATGAACCGCCGCGCTGCGACTAAAGCGTCAGCCTGACGCGTCACTGATGAGCAAACAGAAACACGGCGTCGGCTTCAGTGTTTGTTCAACTATCGTTAATTACGAATAACAGTTTGTTTGTTAGCAGAGACGCAGATTCAAACCCAGAACCTTCTCACGCACGTGCTCGTGAGAACAATGTCAACCTCATTCAAACTGAGGCCACGCCTCCACCTGTTACCTACACCGCTGCCTGTGCTCACGCTCAAAAGTGCTTTATCCCTTTAAACCCTCACCTAGTGTCAGGTTAGGGTCTAAAGCAGAGGTGCCGGACTCCAGGCCTCGAGGGCCGGCGTCCTGCAGGTTTCAGATCCCACCCTGGGTCAACACACCTGAATCACATGATGAGTTCATTACCAGGCCTCTGGAGAACTGCAGGACATGTTGAGGAGGTCATTTATCCATTTAAATCAGCTGTGTTGGATCAAGGACACATCTAAACCTGCAGGACACCGGCCCTCGAGGCCTGGAGTTGGACCCCTGGGTTAAAGGGTGATCAGGTGTTCTTCATCCTCTGTTCCTCCTTTCAGCCCCACCGCGTCTCCTCATCCCTCCGGTTTGTACACGTGCACCTTTTCTGGCTTCCTGCTCGGACGAGGTGAACATGGAGCAGACCGATTCCCTCGCGTGCACCGGGCGGTACGAACAAAATCGGCCAGTCCACACATCTGACGCTACTAATACTCATCAGTGTATCACATGTCATTTAGCACCAATCAGACAGCGGCTCAGACTCACCTTTGTAAATCGCTGCTGCTGCTAAGATGGTGTCTCTGTGCAGCAGCGACTTCCTGTTCCACGCACAGTTGCTCTCACCCATACCTGCACACAGCACATCACGAACACTGCACTTTTAAACTTTAATCGAAAGTTTGTTCAAACTAACAGCCTCACGAATGACTTCAGATCCGAAACCGGTTCAGCGATCAAACCGCAGTGAGGTCATCAAACTGTTTTAGCTTAAACAGCGAATCCTGAAATGCTCTCTTATTCAGGCGGAGCCTCTGCAGCTCGGTTTGAAGCCTGTTTGCAGGCAAATGAAAGGAGGACTAAAAGCAGCACGTTCACTCAGGGACCTCCACGAGCCTCCGTCCTGGGACTCGGTCACCTAAAGCTCTGTGCTGACGACTCTGAGAGTCGCTGTGATCAGACTGAAGTCGTCATTTCTGGCTCTGCGCTCATCAGGTGCAGATCCTCGTTCGCTTTCCTTTGCTTCCACGTGAAGAGGGCGACTGTAGAGCCATGTTTGAATGTTGCAGGAACCACATGATTCAAACGAATGGTTCCCAGCTCGTACCTTGTAAATCCGTCATGACTTCCATGATTCCTGGATAATGAACCTGAATGTCATCGATGTCCTGGAACAAAGAGGCGGAAGGGTCAGAGGTCACCGTGAGCTGATGTAAAACATTCTGCGTGTTTAACAAATGCAGCCACGCTGACTCACCACAGTGAGCATGTTGAAGCCAGCTTGGCCCAGCAGGTTTCCCAGGTCGGTGACGGCGGTGTAGGGGGAGATGTGGGGCGAGAACCCGCCCTCCCGCTCCGTCTCGGCCAGCTGCAGGGAACAGCGCAGCTCGTAGAGCGTCTCGCCGCCCACCATCGCTCCGATGAACACCCCGTCCGGCTTCAGCACCTGGTGAATCTGAGAGGACGGCGCACAGCGAAACGTTAACGGGCAAGCTGCAGTCAGTCATGGTATCGCAGCAGGTTCGTCTCACCTGTCTGAGAGCTCCGGGCAGGTCGTTGATCCAGTGCAGACTGAAAAGCATGAAGCTCAGCTGCAGTTTTAATGAGCACACATGTTGTTCATAACAAACCCTGGTCCTCTCAGACTAGACCCACTTTATTTCATACATTTGATTTTTTTAACCTTAAAATCACTCGTTGCATTTCTGGACATAAAAATCTAACGACATGATTATCGGTTATTATTTATTCACCATGTCCTTCAGTTCCATTAGCAACCATTTAAAAATATATGATGAATTTAATCTTTTCAAACTGTGAGATAATCTGCACAAATCACATGATTAATATATTTGACTTCATTTACATTAAACAGTGTAAAAGAAACATAAACAGGCTGCAGA